TATTACCAAACCTCTTTCTACACATAGCTCAATTAAAGGCTCCCTATTTTCATTTACCCCTGGCACCCCAAATTTACCTACTACTCCGTCCACATCATTTTTACCCACTTTAGCATTAAAATCCCGAACCACAAGTACTCTCACACTTGGTTCAAAACTCCCCACGCATTCACTCAACATTTCCCAAAATCTCTCTCTCTCCTCGATACTTCTCTCTTGCCCAGGTGCATATACACTTACTATAACTCACTTCTCACATCCAACCTTTATTTTACTCCACATAATCCTTGAATTAATACATTTATAGTCCCTCTTTTCCTGCCATAGATTATCCTTCAACATTATTGCTACTCCTTCTTTAGCTCTAACTCTATTTGAAAGCCCCTGACCTAATCCCATTTATTCCTCCTCTCCACTGAAACTCACCCATCCCCTTCAGCTTTGTTTCACTTAAAGCCAGGACATCCAGCTTCTCATTCATAACATCTCATCGCACAACATCCACGCACATTCAGACTTCTCACTTTGACAATTTTCTTATTATTATTCTTTTTAGTAATTATTACAGGAAAAGGGGTTACTAAGCCACTGTTCCCTGCATTTTAGTTGACCTTTACAACACGCATGGCTTACGGAGGAAAGATTCTTATTCCACTTCCCCATGGATATAAAAGAAAAAGTAATAAGACCAAGAGCTATTAAGATAAAATCAAAGAAAACTCAGATGAGTGTGTATAAATAAACGTGTACATATAAGTTTAGTGTGACCTAAGTGTAAGTAGAAGTAGCAAGACGTACCTGTAATCTTGCATATTTATGAGACAGACAAAAGACACCAGCAATCCTACCATCATGTAAAACAATTACAGGCTTTCGTTTTACACTCACTTGGCAGGATGGTAGTACCTCCCTATGTGGTTGCTGTCTACCAACCTACTACATGTTTGTATATATGAAGAAAATACGAAGAACTTGCCCATCATTATATGTTGGTTCCCATAGGCTCGGAGACCCTTGGCTCATGGGAAAAGAGTGCACCTAAGTTCCTCAAGGAGCTAGGCAAAAAGACTCATCAGGGTAACCAGGGATCCCAGGGCAGCTAGTTTTCTGTTCCAGCGACTCAGCACTGCTGTTCAGAGGGGTAATGCATGCTGTATCTTGGGCACACACCCCAGCTCTGAGGAGCTGGACAAGATTTTCGTATTATAATCAGTGACAAGCACGTAACAATATATACTAGACATGTATCTCATGTACACCTCATGTACTGTATATGGAATCTTTATATCAACAATGTATCTCTTCAATCTTCTGTACTATATTATGCAATAAAATATACCTATTGGCAAAAAAGAATGAAAAGATGGGGTGGTAGGGGAAGCAGAATATTCAAATGGGTTCGGGAAGAAATCCAATATTCTTCCTTGAAGCCTTTTTACCCATTCATGTTATATACTGTATATGATAATTATGTTTATTAGATTTAGTACTGCCATATGAAGTATTTTTCATTTACATACAGTACGCAAAATATGTGCAACATTATTTTAGTGTTACTCTTAGTGTAAATCTGCCCAAAATACTTTGTATAATTATGGGATTTTCCATCTATGAAACCTTTATAATGCAAATGCAATGCAAATGATAATGCAGGCCTGTGGGATGTATAAAGCAACTACCAGACTGATCAGATTTACTGTTATGCAGTTACAAGGTAATCAGCGTAAGACAGGATTGTGAAAAGAGAACTCTTGAAATATGCCATGGGTATATGAGGCACTGCACAGCAGAGAAGAATAAGCATTAAATTCAAACAATGAAGATAAATGCAGTTAAAGTTTTACTACTTATTCCATCTCACAGCATCTCTGCCTCTGAACTCCGGGGCGCTGAGCCTAACTTTCAAATACAGAAGATAACACCTGCACGTTCCCATGAGTAGATGAAATATTAACGAATTGATTCATTCATCAACCGAGATTTTGGCCATGGTGGCACTTATTCTTTTCTGCCATACATCGCCTTGTGAATCACTCACAAAATTCTGAAAGATAAACTGATAACATAGCCAAAAAAAAAAAAGTATTTTATCATAATTGTAGTAGAGTCCAACTTAAATAATGTTTTGAGTGGAGAGCCTCAAGTACACATTCTGCTGTCATCTGTTTGTATTACTACACCAATAAATCAATTAAAATATCTCAAACTCAAAAAATTTAAGCAAAGCAATAGAAAAAGTCAGCTCACCTAGATAGGCTGTAAGCCTCAGAACTGACAACTCTTCCAATGAGGCATGATAGGCTGATCTCATAAGACAATGAAACTACTGAACAAGTTGGATAATGCATAACCTGTTCACTTCATGAAATGTAACATATGTGGGAAAACAATGTTAAATTTGGCAAGCTGAAGTACTTGGTCTTCCCATCCAAGATGTTGAAGCCATAACAGCAACAATTTAACCCTGTAAGTGTCCAGAACCCCAATCTGAAAAGTGTCCACAGTGTCCAAGAATTTACAACAAGAATAATTATTTTTCTTATGAAATTGTAGAGAATCTTTTTTCTGAAGGTAATAAAACAAAAAGTACAAAAGTTTTTTTCCCATTATGCACTGCATGGGGCAGGATTTTTTTTATATGGTGCACACTTACCCCATCAACCCATTCTCTCATATCTAAACCTAAATTTCCTGCTTATCTGAGTGAACTGAGTTCATCATGTAGTTTTACGGCATGGACAAAGACTTCAAACCTGTAAAATTACGACACAGACACTTAACCCTTTCAAGGCCGAGAGGCCCTCTCCTAAACTTGTTCTCAGGGTCGAAAATTTTTTGGAAAAAAAAAAAAATTATTTTTTCTTATGAAAAGATAGAGAATCTTTTCCCGATCATAATGACACCAAAAGTATGAAATTTGATGAAAAACTTACAGAATTATGCTCTTGCGAAGTTAGCGGTCTCTATGATGTTCATGCATCGGCGATTTTGCCTACTTTGAGCCCTATTTTCGACCAATTGCATTGTACTAGTCGACAAAAATCATAACTATTTCACTAAAACTCCATTTTTTCTATCGAATGAGTACAAGAAACCACCCATTTACCAATTTCAACTATCCAATAAAGTGGTCTGAAATTAGCAAATTTGCCAATTTCACACAAATTTCAAAAGATGCCAATTTCCAAATAGGGTCCAGAATAAACAAGACAGACATTCCTGGCACTAAAATAACATTTCCTCTGTTCATTAGTCATGTCTCGAGGCCCTTCTTATATTACTCATGCTTTCTATTTTGATTTTTTATTCACACAAAAAAATGGAAGATTTACTGTACTGTTATGCAGACTACTGCATTAGTGTAGAAATGGTATAAATAATATCAGCGCACTTGTGAAAGAATATTAAACTCACCAGTTAATGTATATTGGATGCGTGGCATGAATTGTTTACTTTTGAACTTTGGCAAAAATCGAACACTTCTGCTATTTTGAGCTCAATTTCAAGGTGCTTTTCATTGTGAAACCAATCAAAATCATCTCAATTTCTGTAATATGTCTTCCATTCTATAAAATGAGACCAGGAAAACTAGAATACAACCATAAATCTTCTTCTTTCAACAAACCGGCCGTATCCCACCGAGGCAGGGTGGCCCAAAAAGAAAAACAAGTTTCTCTTTTTAAATTTAGTAATTTATACAGGAGAAGGGGTTACTAGCCCCTTGCTCCCGGCATTTTAGTCGCCTCTTACAACACGCATGGCTTACGGAGGAAGAATTCTGTTCCACTTCCCCACAGAGAGAGTTCCGGATCAGCCGGGCTGTGGCTCGTATGTTGGTTTGCGTGCAGCCAGCAGCAACAGCCTGGTTGATCAGGCTCTGATCCACCAGGAGGCCTGGTCTCAGACCGGGCCGCGGGGGCGTTGACCCCCGGAACTCTCTCCAGGTAAACTCCAGAGATAAGAGGAAATAAACAAGAATAAGAACTAGAAAGAAAATAGAAGAAAACCCAGAGGGATGTGTGTATATATATGCTTGTACATGTATGTGTAGTGTGACCTAAGTGTAAGTAGAAGTAGCAAGACGTACCTGAAATCTTGCATGTTCACGAGGCAGAAAAAAGGACGCCAGCAATCCTACCATCATGTAAAACAATTACAGGCTTTCGTTTTACACTTACTTGGCAGGACGGTAGTACCTCCCTGGGCGGTTGCTGCCAACCTACTACCTAGCCAACCATAAATATCATACGAAAATACAGTGCAAATTTGCTGTTTTAAACCAAAAACATGGTCAAAGTTTATTTTCTCATTACGCACGGTGTGCTGCAGGATTTTTTTTATACTGTGCACACTGACCACATAGACCCATTCTTTCATATGTAGGCCTACCAGCTTTCTCTCGCTAGATTTGAAGGCGCTAGAATTTATGCGTACTAGTACGTCAATAACTCTGGTGCATAAGCCGTACTAGTACGCTGGAAACCCTGAAAGGGTTAAGGGGTTAAAATGAGAATATGTGTGACTGGTCTACTTAAATGTTGTGTTAGTTTAATGATTTAATGTACATGGGCTATTAAGACACTATTTTATATTTAAAATACCAAAACTTTTTTAACCCGTAAACGGTCCAAGCAGATCTACGTTCACATGTGTAGTGCTACAAAAGCAGATCTACTTTTTTTTACATATTTTCAAATGTAACAAAAAAAAAGTAGATCTAAGTCTTTTTACACATTTTCAAATGTAAAAAAACAAAAAGAAGATCTACTTTTTTTACATACTTTCAAATGTTGAAAAAACGTATATATACGTTTGGACCGTTTACGGGTTAAGCAATAAGAATGATGACTGGCTTCCCCTCAAAATTATTTTTACTGCCTAAAGTAATAAAAAAAAAAAATTGATCAGTCCATGAAATAAGAGTTCCTTTTAAAAGAACTTTAAATAAACTCACATAACTGAAAAATAACCAAATTTGGAATACCATCTTACAGCTTTACCTTGGCAACAGCAGGCTGATCACCAACAAAGGTCACAGTAGTTGATTCATACAACTTCAGAAAGGCTTCATATTTTGTTCCAGTAAATGCCAATTTCACTATCTGAAAATTACAAATTATGATTACACAAGTGACATGAGCCAGTCTTATCTTACACACAGACAGTCATAGACCTAGGTTCATCCTACACAGAGACTATCATAAGCGTGTGTCTTATCCCACACAGAGGGTTATAAGTCTGAGCTTTGTCTTTACACAATCATATGCCAGAGTCTTATCCAACACACAGAGAGTCATGAGCAACAGCAGCTTGAAAATGTGCCATTGCATAATGTGTAAACAACTTCATTTACATCTGTTTAGTAGAATGCCTTAATTGCTGAGAATTACTCCAAATATGCACACTAAAATAACCCATTATGAGAGTAAGGTGCACAGGAGATAGTGCAAAACAGCCAAGATAAAACCAGGAGTGTAAGAGGTATACTAAGGGATAACCAGTAATTGAAAATGGTCCAAGGTTTTACATCACCTACCCTGCAAATATTCAGTTTCAATATAAAGCAGAGGTGCAGCAAATATTACCTCCTTTCAAATATAAAAGAAATTATCAGCAAACTATTATTTGTCTTGAAGAGAGAACTTGATAAGTTATTGCAAACTATTCCTTATCAACCAGGCTGTAGTGTTCATGCCAAATTGCATGCCAGAAGCACTAACAGCCTGACTGACTAGGCTGTCAACCCACAGGACAAGTCTGAGACAGGGCTGCAATGGCTTTAATGGCTTGTAATCATTACCAGATCCCCAGGAAGGTCATACATTCCTTTTGCTATACAAATTGTTAATACTGTACTGTATTATACTCACATTATTATTAAGCTGCAGATATTCCAAATTGATTTTGTTAAGTTGGAGTCGGGCTTCATAGAGATCAGCAGAACTCATTGGTAACTGATGAAAGACAGCCACTAACTTGGCATTCTCAATTTTTTCAAAAAATTCCTTAGCAATAATCTGTTCAAATGGATTGATCTGTTCAAGAAAAAAAAATATTAATCCATTATGATTAGTTTTGGTATTATCATATATATGTATAGTATTAGAAATACAGTGTTGATTTTATAACCAAAGTTAAAGGATAATGTGATAATTTTCTTAAACATTTGTGTGCGAATCTTGATTTGACTGCTATAAGTCAGGGCTTACAGGAATTACTGTTATCCATTGCCCCAGCGTATCACAGCCTGGTTGGCCAGGCAAGCACCAGATGAGCCTGGCCTATGGCTGGGCTCTGGGAGTAGTAAACTCTCAGAATTCATCAAAGGTATATCAACAGAAGGAAGCAGGGTATGACATAACACATGACACACTTGCCCTCCTACTTTCTGTCTTACCCTTAGCTCCTTTGCTAATAATTCTGCTACAGCCTCTCCTCACTTAGCGATGCACTCATTTACCGATGACTCGGACTTATGACAGGCTCTCTGACCAGCTTGCATACCTAAATAATGTATATTAGAGCTGATTTCCTCAATTCTGTTTATTACGATATACAGTACACTACACAATACACATATAACCCGCACGTAGAAGAGAAGAGCTTACGACGACGTTTTGGTCCGACTTGGACCATTTACAAAGTCGGCCGGTCCAAGTCGGACCGAAACGTCGTCGTAAGCTCCTCTCTTCTATGTGCGGGTTATTTGTGTATCGTTCCAGTCACGGTATTGTGCCTTTTTTTGTTATTCACAGTACACTACTGTATAAACATTTAAAAATATACTACATTATAAATGATACAAAAGTGACATTAACCCCTTGAGGATCCAGACTCCCAATCTGAAGTGTCCACACGGTCCAAGAATTTAAAAAAAAGAAAAAAATTAAATTTTTTCTTATGAAATGGTAGAGAATCTTTTTCTGAAGGTAATAAAACAAAAAATACAAAATTTGATGGAAAACTGATGAAATTATGCTTTCACAAATTTTGCTGTCAACGATATACAGTGGACCCCCGGTATTCGATAAATCCGGTATTCGATGCATTTTATCGCAAAAATTTCGCCTCGGTATCCGATTGAAAACCCAGTATTTGATGCGATTTGTACGAGACGTGTCCACATGTGGCCTGAACTGCCCCATGTGTGCCAGTGTTTACAAGCCAGCCAGTGTGCGTGCATCTAAGGATACATTCGGTACATTCCATATTATCACTGTTTTTGGTGCTTGTTTCTGCAAAATAAGTCACCATGAGCCCCAAGCTATTTTTTTTAAAGCTTCTAGTGCCAACCCATCAAGAAAAAAGGTGCTAATGACTACAGTGGACCCCCGGTATTCGATGGCATCGGTATTCGATGCATTATATCGCAAAAATTTTGCCTTGGTATCTGATCGGAAACCCGGTATTCGATATGATTCGTACGAGACGTGTCCACGTGTGGCCTGAACTGCCCCATGTGTGCCAGTGTTTACAAGCCAGCCAGTGTGCGCGCATCTAAGGATACATTCGGTACATTCCATATTATCCATATTATCACTGTTTTTGTGCTTCTTTCTGCAAAATAAGTCACCATGGGCCCCAAGAAAGCTTCTAGTGCCAACCCTTCAAGAAAAAAGGTGCTAATGACTATTGAAATGAAGAAAGAACTAATTGCAAAGTACGAAAGTGGAGTGCATGTGTTGGAGCTGGTCAGGTTGTATAGTAAACCCCAATCAACCATCTCTACTATAGTGACCAGGAAAACGGCAATCAAGGAAGCTGTTCTTGCAAAAGTTGCAACTGTGATTACGAAACAGCAACCGCAAGTGTTAGAAAATGTTGAGAGACTATTATTGGTGTGGATAAATGAAAAACAGATAGCAGGAGATAGTGTCTCTCAAGCGATCATTTGTGAAAAGGCTAGGCAGTTGCATGACGATTTGGTAAAGAAATTGCCTGCAACTAGTGCTGATGTGAGTGAATTTAAGGCCAGCAAAGGTTGGTTTGAAAGATTTAAGAATCGTAGTAGCATACACAGTGTGATTAGGCATGGTGAGGCTGCCAGTTTGGACCAAAAAGCAGCTGAAAAATATGTGAAGGAATTCAAGGATTACATAGACAGTGAAGAATTTAAACCTGAACAAGTGTTTAATTGCGACAAAACAGGCCTGTTTTGGAAGAAAATGCCAACCAGGACCTACATTACTCAGGAGGAAAAGGCACTCCCAGGACATAAGCCTATGAAAGACAGGCTTACTCAGTTGATGTGTGCCAATGCTAGTGGTGATTGCAAAGTGAAGCCTTTATTAGTGTATCACTCTGAAACTCCCAGAGTGTTCAGGAAAAACAATGTCCTCAAGGCTAATTTGTGTGTGCTGTGGAGGGCAAACAGTAAGGCATGGGTCACTAGGGACTTTTTCTATGACTGGTTACACCAAGCATTTGCCCCCACTGTGAAAAATTACCTAATTGAAAATAAATTAGACCTTAAGTGCCTCCTGGTATTAGACAATGCCCCTGGTCATCCTACAGACTTGGCAGAGCGGCTTTCTGGGGACATGAGCTTCATTAAGGTCAAGTTTTTGCCTCCTAATACCACTCCTCTCCTGCAGCCCATGGACCAGGTCATTCCAACTTCAAGAAACTGTACACAAAAGCTATGTTTCAAAAGTGCTTTGTTGTGACCACAGAAACTCAACTGACTCTAAAAGAGTTTTGGAAGGATCACTTTAATATCCTCAATTGTATAAACCTTATAGGTACGGCTTGGGAGGGAGTGACTAATAGGACCTTGAACTCTGCTTGGAAAAAACTGTGGCCAGAATGTGTAGACAAAAGGGATTTTGAAGGATTTGAGGCTAATCCTGAGAAGCCTATGCCAGTTGAGGAATCCATTGTGGCATTGGGGAAGTCCTTGGGGTTGGAGGTTAGTGGGGAGGATGTGGAAGAGTTGGTGGAGGAGGACAATGAAGAACTAACCACTGATGAGCTGCTAGATCATCTTCAACAGCAAGAGGCCACACCTGAGGAAACTGCTTTGGAGGAGGGGACAGAGAAATTGAAGAAGTTGCCTACTTCAAAGATTAAGAAAATGTGTGCTATGTGGCTTAAAGTGCAAACCTTTTTTGATGACAATCACCCTAACAGAGCTATTGCAAGCCGTGCTGGTGACTATTACACTGACAATGTTGTGAAACACTTCAGGAATGTCATAAAGGAACGGGAGGTACAGGCCTCTATGGACAGATATGTTGTGCGACAGAAGTCCAGTGACTCTCAAGCTGGTCCTAGTGGCATTAAAAGAAGAAGGGAAGTAACCCCGGAAAAGGACTTGCTACCTCAAGTCCTAATGGAAGGGGATTTCCCTTCTAAACACTAACACCATCCAAACTCCCCTCCTCCCATCCCATCAATCACCACCAGATCTTCATTAAAGGTAAGTGTCAATTATTCTATTGTTATTGTTGTTATTGTAATTATTCTATTGCATTAAACTTAATATTTCATGTGGTAAATTTTTTTTTCATATTTTTGGGTGTCTTGCACGGATTAATTTGATTTCCATTATTTCTTATGAAGAAAATTGATCCGCTTTTCGATATTTTCGGTACTCGATGAGCTCTCAGGAATGGATTAATATCGAATACCGGGGGTCCACTGTATATGCATCGGCGATTTTGCCCAATTTGACTCATATTTTATGGCAATTACATTGTTCCAGTCGACCAAATTCTTAGCTATTTTACTGTTTTATTGATTGAGCACAAGAAACTACCCAATCAACTATTTCAACTACCCAATAAAGTGATCAGAAATTGGTAATTTGGTCAATTTCACACTAATTTCAAAATACATGTATTCTGTTTTCAAAATAGGGTCCAGAATAAACAATGTAGGCATTCCTGGCACTAAAATAGCAATTGTTCTGTTCATTAGTTACATTTCCAGGCATTACACATGAATTCCATTTTGATTTTTTATTCACAAAAAATTTTTAGTCACACCAAAAAATAGAAGATTTACTGTTATGCAATATTGCAATAATTATATAAATAATATCAGTGCATTCATGAAAGCACATCAGATTCACCAGTTGGTGTGTCTTGGACATGTGATGTGATTTGTTTACTCCTGAACATCAGCATAAATTGAGCATTTTTGCTACTTTGAGCACAATTTCAAGCTATTTTCCTTCCTAAAAACCAATCAAAATCATCTCAATTTCTGTAATATGTCTTCCATTCTATCAAATGAGACTAAGAAACTGTGAATACAACCATAAAAACCATACAAAAATACACCTCAAAGTCGCCATTTTAATCCAAAAACATGGTCACAGTTTTTTTCTCATTCTGCACTGTGTTGCAAGATTTTTTTTATATGGTGCACACTTATCACATAGACCCATTCTCTCATATCTAGGCCCAAATCTACTGCTCACAGCTTAACAGAGTGAGCTGAGCTCATGACATATTACTACAGCACTGACCCCAGCTTCAAAGCTGTAGACACAAACCCACCACCATTATAGTATGCTATTTCCTTAGCGATGAATTCACTTACCGATGTGGTCTTAGGAACTCCATTGTTAACCCTTTCACTGTCGAGACCTCTGCTCACAAACTTGCTCTCAGTGTCGAAAAATATTAAAAAAAAAAATATATATATATTTTCTTATAAAATGATAAGAGAATATTTTCCCAATGGTAATGACACCAACAGTATGAAATCTGATGACAAAACTTACAGAATTACGCTCTCGTGAAGTTAGTGGTCTTGGCGATATTTATGCATCAGTGATTTTGCCTACTTTGAGCCCTATTTTTGGCCAATTCCATTGTTCCATTCGACCAAACTCATTGCTATTTTGCTAGAACTCCATTTGTTCTATCAACTGAGTACAAGAAACTGCTCATTTGCCTATTTCAACTACCCAATAAAGTGATTAGAAATTGGTAATTTGGGTAATTTCATACACAATTCAAGGAAGGCCAATTTCAAAATAGAGTCCAGAATTAATGCAAACATTCCCAGCATTAAAATAACATTTTCT